ACTGCCACGCAGAGGTCCCAGGTTCAGATTCCCGGGCCGGGAGAAATATTTGTATGGCCTACATTTATTGCTCTCGTGAGTTTGGGTGTAATTTGTGGTTGTCTACGTGTGTCCATAGCACCAGCGATACAGGGTTTCCCTAGTGCGGGGCTATGTTGAGTGTGTGCGTTATTATTGTATTATTATTATTATATTATAGATCTGAAAAAAATACTATCATTTCCAATAGTATATAATAACCGACAAAACACAAAAACTCGAAAATTTTATATTGACCAAAAAAAATGATTCCCCTTAGAGCGCAAACACGACATTAAATTTAGCAATGTATATTTATGCTATTCCAATTTAAATAAGGTGTAAATTATTTGATTTTGAATAAGAGACGTCCCTTCGAGACCATGGACGTTTCAATACGTCCCAAACGTCAAGGTAAATATAATATGTTTTTATACACGATTAAGTCCCGAATTTAAAATCAAATAAGTTAATGTGTGAAAATCGTGAAAGTTTAAATCAGTGTAAGGTGTAAATTGCAATGCTTTTGAGACCTAATTGAAAAGTCATATTACCAACTTGAAAACTATGTGTTAGATAAAGAGATATGGAAAAACAACATGAGTCTAGATTCCACACAATTATGATTCAAAGTGTATCCTGTATGTGCTTAAAAAATGACGTTTTCAAGTGTAAAAATGTTACTTCTGGAATAAATTATTATTCGACTTTGGAGTATCGTGGCGAATTTCACAGCATTAAGATCATGGCCCATAATCTGACCGGTTAATGGATGTTTACGTAAAATAAACCACATTAATTTTAAATTATGCAGTTACAAACCACTTTTTATTTTAATTTAAAAAATAATAATAATAATAATCTACGTGGTTAACATGTAACAGGGCAATAAAGTTTTGATAGAGATAAGATATTTAGGGCTCGTATTCTAGAACTCTACTCAATGCTTAAATCAGGATTTGAGTATGGTTTAAACCACTCGAATTCATACTCAAGTCCCTGCCATTAGGGTCGTAGTTCCAGTGCTTGTGTTTCCAGTGCAATCCTGACTTGAGCATTGATTAGAGTTCTAGAATACGACCCTAAGAGTCTATACTACATCAAATGGCTTTGGTTGATTCCGCAAAACAGTGAGTGTTGAATC